CATAAAATGACAGGAGCTCCAATTGACTTCAGAACTACAAGAATAAAGCTCAGCTGACAAACTTACAGGGTCAAAATTAGCTTGCTTTTAAAATATTCATAAGCAAAAAAGACATCAGAATCTCTTAATAAAAGCAGTTTGTTAACAGCTTTAGTTTTTCTTTTCCAGAATAGGCCATATATCTTAAAGAATACATTCAGAATTCAGAGCACAAAATGGCACTGATGATGACCTTCTAACTCTTTGGCCCTGAATGTTAGGGAAATCATGATTTTAAGGAAGAATAAAATGAACAAAGGAAGAAGGAAGGTTTGCAAGCAAAGCCAGGAAACCAAAAAACCCCATACCAATTTTCAAATAAATCTGTAACTTATCCTTACTCCCCGCTATTGTCTCCTCAATAGCCTCATACAACGTATTGGTAAATACTCAAACTACACGCAAAAGTCAGTCCAAGCTATTACAATTTACAGCAGGCTTCTGCCCAACACTTTATCCTACGATACAGAATTCACTCCCCTCCTGAAGAACACCTCTCCTGCAGCAACATCCTTGTGCCACTAAATAGCTTAGCTAGGGCTGGCAACAAAATATTCAAATTGTCTTTTCCTAATCAGAAAACATATCATCATGTCAAATTCACTGGCAAATGAGGAACCACCGGTTATCATGGATCAGTCACTGCACAACCCTTTCTAAGTAAGCAACTGTCTTCTGGACTGGATTAAGTATTTATTACCTGCTGAGTACAGGACATCTGTGGGTGTCCCACAGTCCACCAAATATAGAAGGGAAACCTTTGCCCCAAGAAATCTATTTGTATCAAATTTCAAACGATACAAGAATATTTAGGAAAACTAGTACCGTCCGGTACAGCTTGGGCTGTCTTGGATCCAGTGTGGTGGGCAGCACTGCATCACTTTACATCTGCTCAAGTTTTGACCATTGATTTCTAAAATGAATTTGACTCATTTGTAAACTGTGATGGATTTAAAAAATTTTTTCTCAGCTCTGTTCATCCGCATTCACAGCCTCCTGCCTTGGAGAGTTCCCTTCCCCCTTCTCCCTATCATCACATTTTCTTAATAAAAGATGAATGAATATTTATTATTATAGGAATACCTGGGGACCTTTGTCATTATTAAAACATTGTCTTAGGCACTGTACAAATGATTCGATGTAGACTCTGACCTGAAAAGTCTGGACAAATGGTAGAGAAGAGGGATATAGCAGCTAGCCTGAGCAGAGCAATGATTTACAACTGTCCTGTAAATATTGCAATTATTTATGCTTTTTACAAGAATTCTGGGTGATCTCATTAGGAAGCAATTAGCCAGAAAAAGAGACGAAAGAGGCAGAAGGGATATACTCCTTCCTTAAAAATTGTAAAAAGAACAGGATACCAGATGCCCACACATGAATTACTTTATTTTCCTTTTACTGTTGCATTATAACAAATCTCTGAGAGAAAATGGAGCTTAAGAATTGGAAATGCTGACAGATAATCCCAGCACACACAAGTAGTGTTGGTCCAGCTGTAACACACAAGCAGTAATGCTGTTCCTAAGTTTTTCACGTTGAGAACTTCCATATTTCATCTATTTTGCTGGAACTTCTCTCCAACTTTGACTCACCCAGGGATAATTCAGAGGAAAGAGACTCCAAAGCAATGGTTAAGACTTACCTGCTCCACTGTCATGGCCTGTGTTTGAGGAGAATGAGTGGAATCCACATAAAACCCAGCCCCAGCAATAATATGGACTCCAGTTTCCTCAGCAAGTTTCTTCAAAGTATTCATACCCCGACCAATTCCTGTGGTTGTGTTTTCCACGATCGTCCCACCACCTGCTGCTTTAAAATGCAACAGCTCCTCCTTCACAGCATCTGTTTCCTGATACAAAAGAAGGTTTTCTTTATGGCTGTAGGGATTTTGCTTAATCCAAAACAAGTTCTTCATCTCAATGGGCCCATCAGACAGAGGCTCTTGGCCTGGGGAAGGTGGACAAAAACAGCTGCTATAGTTCATAGTCAAGTGTTCATGAGTCAAGGTATAGCCAAGGCAGTCTGGATCCACAGGGCCCAAGACAGTCTGCGCTTTCCCTCCCAAGGAAGGCATTTTTCTTCAGCAAGAGGAAAAATAAATCAGATTAAAAGAGTCTGGGAAGGAAGAAGAAAGGAAACAAAAACATTTCAGATGGAGCAAACATTTCTTGCAAAATTTATGAGTTCCCCCCTCTCTCTCAGACATGTACCTCCACGCTGTGTGTGTTCGCTGGAAACTTTTCAAACGCTGTTTCCAGCAGAGTGGTCAATATGGAAAACAAAGCATTTACTTTACTCAACTGCGCTTGTATCAGTACGCTAGCAATGTAAAAATACCACACTCCAGTACAGGGAAATCATCATCATTTATTGTGCTATAGTCAATATCACATTAAGATACATTTTTCCTATTTAATAACAACCACTGTATGTTCATTTAGGATTCTCTGCTCTTCAGCAGCTGTCAAATTTTGTCAGCTTGAGCCACCAGATGAACATACTTGGCACCAAGGCTGAATATTCCTTACTGGTACGTTCATTTTATTTATCTGTGTCCTCCAAGACTCACTACCCGCCTTGCACGCTGAGGAAGCGGTCCATGTTTGGACACCTTGTCTGCCCCTCTGTATGAGGAATGTTGGGATGGGGGTGATCATCTGCTCCTTAGACTTCAACAGAGGCTCAGGTTCTCCTGCCAGCTGTGCTGTGGAGGTCCGGAACAGCCCAGGACAACTCCTCCAAAGCTGACAACAGTTGCTAAGGATACAGTGTGGCCCTCAACCAGCGGGGCAGAAGCCAAAATGTTTTTCCCATCAGCTTCATTGGCCAAATATTTTACCAGTTAAGAACAGACCTTAACCTAACGCTTAATTTATATGGCTCAGCCTCTAAGAGACTTTTTTCTTCACCTTTAACGTGAATGAAACAAAGTTATTTCTCAAAACTTCAAACGAGTCATGCAAAGATACACGTTTAGACAACTGTCTGCAGTTTTTCATGTCAAAGGCATCTGCCCCATGCAAGTTTGGTCTGACTCGCTAGAGGTTAGAATTAGCTGCAGCTCTCCCCACTGGGATTTTGGGATATTTTTTTCTTGTGGGGGTGGGGGTAGTCTTCTTCATTTATGTGCCATATTAACATTAAACACAGCTGACTACCCAGTTCATGTTAGATCTTCTAGTTGCAAAGGCTTGAGGATATAAAGTTATAATCCCTAGTCAACCAAAATCATCAGTTATGAAACAAAATACATGTTTAATCATGTCCAGAGGACAGGACTAACTAGAGCATGCATTATTGATTAAAGAGAGAGGTCTCTCCCATTTCTGTCTCCCTTTTAGTGAATAATAACATAAACATGGGTTTGTTACTGGTGAAGACCTCAGAGGACACTTTCCTTTTAACTGCTAAAGTTAATCTACCAGGATGACAGAAAAACTGAAATCTGAAGGACACCGAACTCTACATATCAAAGGGCACAAGAACGTCGAGGCCTCTTTGGGGATACTTTCATCTCACGAGAAGCAGTCATTGTCAGAGTACCAACGTACGAAAGTGACCCAGCCCCTGCAAAAGGCAGATATCACCTGCCTAGTGAAGTCTGTAGTGCTGGCAGTTATTTTAATATGAAAACTTGGCCATCCATAAGAAAGAGAAAGGCCTGACTGACTATGTTTGCTTGCCTTGTGTAAAAGCAGACTTAGGAAGAACTGTTCTTTTATGAATTTCATTTCTAGACTAGTGTGTTGGCTTGTTTGAGAAGGCAGAAGAATAATTACTCTCATAGAACAGACTGTTGGTTGATTAATATAATGATTTATTTTTTGCCAAATAAATTAAGAAGTGCATGATTTCAGAAAATATTATTCTTGAGCAAATAATTAAAAGCAAAATACCTGTCTTAGTCAGAAACTGCTGCCAGCTGCAATTCAATTAAGTTGTCCAACCCAGTCATTAATTCTATACTTTAACAAAGCTGGTGCCCTATAGAGCAACCCACTATTCTGGAGAAATTTCAATGATCTGAGTCAGTCATCAACTAAGATAATTCTAAGATAACTGCATTACCTTTGCTTTTCCACCCCCCACCCCCCTTTTTTTTTTGGTGTTAAGTATCTACACTCTGGTATTCAGTAAAACCCTGACAGCATAAAGAGTGATAACTACTCTCTGCATTGGAGACACACTTTTCTTTCCCCATGTTCATTGACAATTTTCAAATCCATTTATTTAGGAAAACAAACCTATGTAAATATTTTGTTATATAATTAAATATATAAGTATTGAAGTTCTTTTGATAAAACTTGACACAAAGCGATTACTGTGTGTTTCTGTAACAAGCTTCCACTTCAGTTTTTTAGTTATTTAATAGCGCAGTTACTCAAAAAGGCCACTCTAATTCAATGTGAATTTTTGCTCACTTTCAGATTACTACTTTGATGAAAAGTTGACTTCAACATTTGTTCCCGCTAATTCCTTTCCAACACAGTTAATTTAGATTACCCTCAATTAATCTGGCCTGACCACTGCAAAGACCTATGGCTGCATGTGTGAGATCTTCTTATAGCCTGAGGCTGTCATCTTCTGATTTATAACAGCAGGAAACATTTAAAATTACCAGTTCCAGTGCCAGGTTTCTCTTGTAGCAGACACCAATCTGTTGATTTTAGACTCTAGCTTTCAGATTACAGCACACATACAGAGTTTACAGAACCAATGCCTACTATTGAACCTTTTGATAGAGGCCAAGGATTTTTATAAATATAAGAAGCATCACAAAAACAGAAACTGACACAAACAGCATTTAAAGTAGGCCTAATTTTATCTGCATGAAAAATATGATTAATATTAATGTCTGTGCCTGCTTACTAACACAGTTTTAGAAACCCACTGCTTTTAATAAAAAAATTATGAAAAATATAGACAGCCAACAACCCGTGACTGGAATTATTTTTAAAACCAGCATCCTGATATCTTTGCTACTGTCACTTACACAGATAGGATGCCCTAATTATGCTATAATGATATATTATTGCTAGTAAGATTCATTTGATGGAACCAGAACTTAATTAGTGTCTTTAAAACAGATTTTAGGTGCAAACACCTTTTAAATGGAATAAGGATTGCTGCTTAATTTAAGCATATATACGTTACCGCAGAAATCAATGTTTTTGATGCTTTACTAATGACTTGCGTGCCATGTTTTACACAGACCTTTCTTCTAAGAAAGTTTCTTCCTTCATACACCAAAGACTGAATTCATATCACCTCATTTAGCCATCTAAAATGATGTATGTCTTCCACAGAATAATCGTCTAGACCATTTTCATAGTGGAGATGGAAAGACATCCATAGGCAACTCATCCAGCCTATTTTGAATGTTTGTAATAGAACAGGACAAGTCACTTTCTGTAATATTGGCCTCCTTCCATGGGCTACGGAGGGAGCCAAGAAACAATCCTGAATAAGACAAGTATATTTTAGATGGTGCTACATAGGACGTGTGAATTATATTTACTGAATCTTAACCCAGTCTGAGGGGAGGGGGAAAGGTGCGGATTCCTATGACAAAAGATAAACAGGTAGGCTCTTATCTGGCAGTAACAGGTATTTTGGTTTTGGAAATCACTAATTTATGCAGTGGTATCGCCAAGGTGCTCCTGCATAGGACAAGGCTTCTCTGCCCTAGGTGCTGTATAAACAGAGAAATAAATGGTATTTCCTGAAAATTACATATTCAGATAAAAAGAAAATAAGAATTGCTTTAAGATACAACCAAAACTTGTGTTATTTCACAACAGCCTTGAAACAATACCTTAACATTTCTGTAATAAACTCTGGACAAATCTTTACAACCACCAATTGTATGGTGCATAAAATACGACTCTCACCATTAGCCAACTATTAAATATTGATGAAGTAAATATTTTTCCTAGAGTTATTCTTAAGAGAAAGGAGACTTGCTGCTAAAAAGGTCATGGTACTGTATTCCTGACCCTGGTAAAAACTCCACTGAGTTCAATAGATGTTTTGCCTGAATACTGATGACAAGATTTCCGCTTTTCCCATCTGAAACTTGCGCTTCAGTCATTGTGTCATTTTAATGGTCTTGTAATGGAAAGTCTCTCTAGGTTTGGATTAGTTGCTTCCTACAGTAATCTCATATTGCTGAAACATTATAATCGCATAAACACAGTTTCCACATGCTAACACCGCATTTGTTTTGATTCAGTAAGCACATTTTAATGGTATTAGCACAGATCCTCTCTAGACTTGTATGGGAATCATTTTATTGCCATTACATTACAATGTGAGATTACAGTGACACTAAATCCAGATTGCTGTGACACAAAGTTGAAAAAAAAAGCAAAAAGAATGGCTCAATAGCTATTTATTATATTCAGAGAACATTAAACACAGCTGCCATTTAGAAACAAGGGCTGTCCTCGCTGCATCAAGAGCATTGTAAGAGGGTCTTTCCTTTATAACCATGCAGGCCTAGGAAATGTGACATAGCGCAGGTTCGCTGTATATTTACAGATGGAGGAAATGCTTTGAGCACTCAATTCTGCTGCAAGCAAACTCTACAGAGCATGGAAAAGCCCCAAATTAGAAATATATGACACATCTATAGCAAAATACCATGAGACAGTCTATGCTGTTTTATTTCACCATTCCCCACACGTAAACATTTTGCAACGAGGGAAAAAGTTAGCAAGACAAAGGAAGAGGAGAGGCAGAAGGTAAGAGAACACGTATAGACTATGTCAGGAAGAATTTAAAAAATGAACTTCTTTCTCTCTTCCCCCATGCTTCTGCCAACTCTGTAGAGGTTTACGGGGTGAAATGAACTCAATACTGCCAGCACAGTTCTTCCTCTTCCCCACCAGACAAGCAAGTTTTCTAACTTCTCTGACAGACAGGTGCCAGATCTACTTTACCTTCTTCAAAAATTTATTCACAAGCGCTAATTACAGGACAAACACACCTGAAACCCATCTCTCTCTCATACACTGGTTTAAAAAAGCATGGCTTTTTTGCATCAGGGAAGTGCAGCTACAAGGGGCTGTGGAGCAGAGTTCACCACACCTGTCTGGGCGAGAGCAGCAGTAGGA